CGTCGTCGCCGTCGTCGTCGTCTTCGTTGTCGTCGCCGTCTTCGTTGTCATCGTCGTCATTGTAGTCATGTTTGATGTTGTAATCGTTTTCTTTTATATTATTCCGTAAGCTATTTTTAGGATTTCTGCCAAACTAATTAAAAAGAACATATCACAGAAAATTAAATTAATAAAAATTGTCATTAACGACTAATTTAGTTAATAATATTTAACTAACAATGCTTTATACACGAAATTATTGAGGTTGGTAAATAAATAATAAATTTTAATATTCTCGCCGGACGTCTGTTTGTCACAACTTCGGATACATTGAATGTAGCCGAATGTACATACTATGAACGTCCTATGAACGTTCAAATAATGGATGTTAAAAATCAGACTTGTGACCATAAGTGCTGACTTGGGAAAAATATTAGTGGGGCACAACAATATCCACTTTTTTGTGGTACTACTGATAGAAATAATCGCTGAAAAAACTAATATCAAATTAATAGAGATTTTAACGATTTCAGCGGTTTATTTCCATCAAGAGTATCGCAAAAAATAGATAATGTTGTGTAGTTGACATCCACTTCTTCAGAGGACCGTAGTGCATAAGGTACTTTGCAGGTATTTCGTTACAGAGAAAAGGCCCTTATATCCTTCTTCAGGTTTCTCTCTGGTACGTGTAGGGACCGACACTAGGGATTCCTTCCAGGGGAATGTTTGAATTCCCATCCGGTGCTTCCCAGGTATTATGTCATCCTTATTATTTGACAAACGTTAAACAAGGATGACATGACATTCAGGGTTGTTTTGTTTAAAACTTTTTTTTTTAACAAATGTTTAAAACATGTTGATTAAATTAAACATGCTTTTTTTTTAAAACAATTTAAAACAAATGTTTAAAACGTTATTTTTTTAAAATGTGTTTTTAATACTATTTAGTACAGGAGAAAATGGTACCCAGTTATATTTTACACAATAATTTGGTCTACTTGGTTAATAAAAAATATTTAAAACTTGACAATTACATTTACTAAAATATTGTTGAATCGATTCTGCACTCAAAATTACGAAATATTTATTCCTTAGGACACTTAATAAAAATGTGACGATATTGCATAATGGCGAATCGAAGAGGAACATGGATGGTATTGTGGCCTTCCATAAAAATAGTCTTAAAAGATTAGTTTTGTTTAGAAAATAGTTTGATTACAAAATTAACAAAAAAGTAGAGTATTGCAGAATGCATGCATGTATACAAATGTATATACCTACATACACCTGTATACATATAACTTTACGTATACAAGGTGTCCCGTAAGTTTTTGCCAAGTGCTTTTGTATAGGGTAAGTCGGGGGAATACTCCAGTTGGTGGAATATACCACTCGTTTTGTTTAACAATGATACCGATTAGCGACGCTTGCGTTAATGACACAGAATAATTTACAATTGTGTGCTTAACGTATTACATAACTGCCACTAAACATCTTCAAATGACTCGAACGGCACGCCTAGCAGGCCATCCCCACTCCCAGCGGCCCGCGCGCCGTGCGATCGGTGGGGACGGTAGGACGGGTAGGTTGTATATTCGGCAGCACAGTAGGTCAGCTGGACGCGTTTATTCGGCTATATTTAAACGTTAATATCTCGTTAACTATTGCGCAAACTACAAAATGGTATAAGAATTTTCGATTCAGTTCGGTCCATTCTACCTGCTCGTGACAGGAATCGCGATAATTTTCAAACACCCTGTATATGTATACAGGGTGTCCTGATCTTTTTTGCCAATCACTTTTGTGTAGATAGAGCGAACTAAACTGAGTCGAAAAGTCCTCTACCATTTTGCAATTTTCGCAATAGTTAACAAGATATATTAATTACTAAAAATTGCAAAATATTAGTCTTGAATAATTTTTTACTCAAATACTATCAACTTTACAAAAAAACTGCAAGAGACAAAAATTATTTACTTTCTTCTCATAAAGTTCTGAGAATTTTTTCATAATTTTTTCAGAATTTTTTAATACCGTACTTTCTCATGTTGGTAAAAATAAGAAAATGCAGTACTAAAAAGATGATAAAAGATTTCAAAAAAATTCTCAGAACTTTATGAGAAGAAAATAAATAATTTTTATCTGTGTTTGCAGTTTTTCTATAAAGTTGAGAGTATTTGAGTAAAAAATTATTCAAAACCAATATTTTGCAATTTTTAGTAATTAATATCTTGTTAACTAGTGCGAAAATTGCAAAATGGTAGAAGACTTTTCGATTCTGTTTAGTCCACTCTATCTACACAAAAGTGATTGGCAAAAAAGGTCGGGACACTCTGTATAGTGGTCTCTTTTTCTTACAAAGCATATCTTTAAATACTAGTACCGGTTCCAGCAAACGACTTTTCATACAAAAAAATATCCGGTCGGACCCAAAATATGCCAAAAGTCCCGATATGTACATTACACTTCCGATTATATTATATATATATATATTAAATATATTATACATGGAATATATACTTTTTCATATGTGGCATATTACCTCCATGACCGCATATTATCCATTTTTCAGCACTTTCTTATTTCTTTATTTTTAATACAAAAATGAATATATTCGATTCAAATTATACACAAATCATAGATAAAGGATTGAAGAAAAAGATTAGTATGTAAAGTTATTTTAAATTGAACAAATAATTACTCAAAAATCTAATTTAGTGTGGCGTAATTCCCCCGACTTACCCTAGAAAAAGCGGACTAAACTGAGTGGAAAAGTCCTTTACCATATTTCGCAATTTTCACAATGGTTAACGAGATATTAATTATTAAAAATAGCTGAATATTGATCTTCAATAATTATTTACTCAAATTATATCAACTTTACAAAACAACTGCAAGAGATAAAAATTGTTTATTTTCTCCTCATAGAACTCTAAGAATTTTGTTAGAATTTTTTATCAACTTTTTAGTACTGCGTTTTCTTGTTTTTATCAACATGAGAAAATATGGTATTAAAAAATTCTGAAAAAATTCTGAAAAAATTCTCAAAACTTTATGAGAAGAAAATAAATAATTTTTGTCTCTCGCTATTTTTCTGTAAAGTTGATAGTATTTAAGTAGAAAATTATTGAAAACCAATATTCAGCGACTTTTAGTAAATAATATCTCGTTAACTATATTGCGAATTTGCAAAATGGTAGCGGACTTTTCGACTCAGTTTAATCCGCTCTATCTACACCAAAGCAATTGGCCAAAACTTACGGAACACCCTGTATATAGGCAGCTCGGCACTAAAAATCTATAGTAACGTAAATTATAAATTAATATTAGAACTACAATTAATTCAAGGAATAATTATTTTGATATAAAAATCTGAAAAAAGAGGCCGTGAGTAACCAATGCGCATAAAGGACTATTAGCAAAATGCCATGCTATATTATTTAAATTTGCATAACTTAAAATATATACAGTCAAATAAAATGTTAAATAGCAAACAACACATTCAAATATACATATATTCGTGCGATAATACGCTCAAGTGTAAGAAAAACGAGGAAGGTGTAATTAAATGCTTAGAAACGTTTTAATATACATACTTGAAAGTAAAAATGCGTTATAATAAAATATAAAAAATAGAGGAAAGCCCTCTATTATGAGATAGGCGCCTAATATGAGATAGCGGCGTTCCTGCCAAACTAATAAACGCTATCTATTGGTTCCACCATGAATTTATTGCTCTTGGATTGAAAACTATTTAGTAGAAAATTCATTATTAGATCATGCCTGTAGTCATTGTAAAACAAGATTTCAGAATTTGGATGTCTTAAAGTTTCGTTAAGATGAGCTTGTTTATTATTTAATAAATAAATATTTGGCAATAAATTCTTCATGTAGTGATAGTATAAGTTAAGGTCGTACTAATAGAAAAATACGGGATATGTTGAATTGTTTAATTACAGAAGTTAGATTTGATGATCGTAAAACCATAAGGTGAGGAAATCGTAATATGAGATACCTAGGGTATTTGTAATATGAAATAACCCGTGCTGCTATGTTATAGTGAAAATCATTGCTAAAGTATAAATGTTATTGTATAATAATAAAAAAGACAATCGGAATGAACGTTGAATGCCTATTTCGGCGATGCTTGATTCCAACTGCCTGAAGACGAGTTCTGGGTATAATCTATATCGCATGCTTATTTTTCGCGCACGCTGGCTGTGTTTGTTTGTATTTTAGAAACATTAAATAAAGTTTTTTATTGCAATACTGATATATTTTGCGTTTTACTATTGATTTCTCGGGGCATCTCATATCAGGAGCACAATTTTTTGACTTTGCGATTTGCTCACTTGTTACATTTCTTTAATTTTCAAAAAAATGTAATTTGGATTAAATTTTATATAACGTTATCTTAAAGCTTATTAAATTCCCTTCAAAATTACCTATTATTTTTAAAAATTGTGCCTATGGACTTCTAAATAAAAGCTCTATAAAACTAGCAGGGTTAAATTAGGAAAATCAAATCGGACCTATTGGAATATTTAGTATTAAATTATAACATTAATTATAATTTTGTACTTTGTGGCATTTTGAGAAAAATTGTGGCACTGCTATAGCCTGTAATAGTCAGCAGGACTAATTAAAATAAAAGAAAAACAAGAAAGATCATATCAGAAATTAATAGGATTGAATTTTTACTAACTTGTATTACCAAAAATAATTTTATATTATGTGTCATTAAGTTAGCATTTTACATTTTTTCTTAAAATGATTTTATTAAGGGGTAACGCTACTCTAGAGCTCGAAAAAAGACGTGTTTTTGATAATTTTTTACGGAGATACAATAAAGGAAATAAGAAATCTTTTTATAGAAGTTTATTATACATGTTCTGAAGTAAATAAAAAAATTTTTTAATTAACATTTTTAAACAAAATGGTAGCTACATGATACGAAACTCGGGAATACCTCTCACCGAAGGGCCCGAAAAGTTTCTCCCACAATTTTCAATCTGGAACAAAAAACCAAAATTTTTTGAAAACTATAATGAATGGGGCTTTTTGATATTTTGTCAACTTTTTTGTAAATAATTTACAGTGAAATTTTTTTTCAGATAAGCACTATTTTTTTAAAATTCAATATTTTTAAAATCC